ATTTTTATCTCTCCCACCTTTAATACTTAGTCTTCCTTTACCTTTGCTCTCTATTTTCAGTTATTTTGAAATTTTATCACATTAAGGAGTTGAAACTATTATGTGTTTTTTTTATTATACTTGACAGGACTCCTATAATTTAATAGTTAGCAGTTGATAATTTATAAGTTGGGAAAAGTGAGATATAAAAGAAGCAAGAGCCTTACGGCTTACATTTTAGATGCAAAATAAGTTATATTGTCTGGTAGATTTGGCTACTAGATATTTCAAGTAACTAATTAATAAAAATTATGAAATATAGTAGTCCAAGGTCCTTGACTTACCCTTGTTGTAGGCCATGAAATAGCCTATAAAACAGCGGTTCTCAGCCTGTGGGTCGCGACCCCTTTGGCGGTCGAATGACCCTTTTCACAGGGGTCGCCTAAGACCATCCTGCATATCAGATATTTACATTACGATTCATAACAGCAGCAACATTACAGTTATGAAGTAGCAACGAAAATAATTTTATGGTTGGGTCACAACATGAGGAACTGTATTTAAAGGGCCTGAAGGTTGAGAACCACTACATAAAATGAAGTGCCAGTATAGGAGGGCTCATTTAACAGCTCATATAATTATCTGTTCCTTTATTATTTCTATTGCAGAAATCCCTCTGTTGCCATGGGAGCCTCTCTTTGTACCTCAGAATATTCTCGAAAGGTAACAGATGTGACCCAAGTAAGGACTTTGAATGCTATTGCAAAGAATAGTCTGATTTAGCCAGACATCTCTGAGAGACATGGATATCACAGGATGAAGGCAGAAGAATAGTTCACAATTCTCTATAACACTGCTTTAACCTTCTTCTCTGGCCAGGACAGTCACGGTGTTTGCTTTAAGTCTCACATGGTCATGGAAAATGTTTCCAAGAAGAAAACCTGAAACAAAGCTAAAATCACTCCCTGTGCCTAATCTTGCCAACCATCTTCATTGTCATGTTTCATCTGGTCTATGTTTCTTCCATGGACAGAAGTTTAGCCTGTTTTCATTGGAATTAATTGATGAACTGAGAAAATTCAATTGCAAGATATGAATTTAGAGTGTGACTTTAGGTACAGTTTCATAGCAGTATTTTGCATTTTCTTTTATAAAATAAAAATGTCTATACTGTTACAGCAGTCTCTTATTTTTACCCTGAATAGAGTCTGGCAAAATCTGAAAGAGAAGATTTTTGTTTTGTTTTACCTTCATTTTCTCTCTTATTATGTATTAATTAGGTATGTTGCCCTGGGCAAGATGCTAAGGATACTGAGTAAAATGGTATAGCATAAAAGTTCCCAGACTTGGGAAGCAGGATATAAGAATTTCCAGACTTGCCTGGCCAGCGTGGCTCAGTCGCTGAGCGTCAACCTATGAAACAGGAGGTCACAGTTCAATTCCTGGTCAGGGCACATACCCGGGTTACAAGCTCGATCCCCAGTGTGGGGGTGGGCAGGAGGCAGCCAATCAATGATTCGCTCTCATCATTGATATTGCGGGCACATCCCCAGTAGGAGATGTGCAGGAGGCAGCTGATCGATGTTTCTCTCCCATCGATATTTCTAACTCTCTATCTCCTCCCTTTCTCTCTGTAAAAAATCAATAAAATATATTAAAAAAATATATTATCTAAAAAACAAAAAACATCCCCCTATAGATTACTTGCTAATCATAAAAGTAGAAACTTACCCTTATAATAGAGCTATCTGGTTGCTACCACCTTAACCCAGTAATAAATATTACTAGCAGCAAAGACTATGTTGCTGAAGGACAGGATTTGAAAGGGGAAGAGGTGGTCTTGAGGGTATAAGCTGTGATGGGAAATTGCTTTTGGGAGGTCTCCAAAGTTAGAAGAGCTAAGAGTCGGACCTTGTGGGAAGCGGCTGTAACAGTGCGATGGTTAGCCACTGATTAAGCAATAATGAACTATAAACAGCTCACACGGTGGCAACCATCTCAGTTTGTTTGGAACTTTTCTGATTTTAGCATTGAAAGCCCCATATCCTGGGAAAGTCCTCAGTGCCAGATGAACTGGAAAATTTTGGTTACCCTGCCAGCTCAGTGAAGCTATCTTTGCCTTTTTTCTTAGTCCTTTCCTCCCTGCCCTAATCTTGAAATTAGGGATTGGGAGGGAGGGGGATAGAATAACAAGGTAAATGTCCCCACCCCCAATGTGTTGGTTGTGGATCTGACCTACCACCTGGAAAAAGCTGCCAAATACGATGCCATCAAGCAGGTTGTGAAGCAGGTGTCTGAGGGACCCCTCACGGGCATCCTGGGCTGTACTTAGGACCAGCTGTCTCCTGCAGCTTTAACAGTGACACCCCTCCACCTTCGACGCTGGGGCTGGCATTGCCCTCAGTGACCACTCTGTCAAACTCGTTTCCTGGTATGACAATTAATTTGGCTATAGCAACAGGGTAGTGGACCTTAGGGTCCACATGGCCTCCAAGGAGTGCCATGCACATGTCCTTCTGGCTTTCACACCGGATGTGAAACAGCTAATGGTTGGTGTTAACAAAATGGATTCCACTGAGCCACCCCACAGCCAGAGAGAGAGGAGGAAATTGTTAAGGATGTCACATATAGAAATTTTTTGATATTTGCAACCATAGTAAAACAAAGACTTATATTTTTGATGTTTATTTTATATATTTAAACGCCAGTTAACAAAGAAAAATCAACCAAAAAAATGAGTTCGCGTGTCACCTCTGACATGCGTGTCATAGGTTCGCCATCACTGCTCTAGGATGTCCACAAAATTGGTGGTACTGGTACTGTCTCCATGGGCCAAATGTAGACTGGTGTTCTCAGATCTGGCATGGAGGTCACCGTAGCTTCAGTGCGACAACTGAAGTAAAGTCTGCTGAAATGCACTATTGAGCTTTGAGGGAATCTCTTCCCGGGGACAATCTGGACTTCAGTGTCGGTCAAAGGTATTCATCATGACAATGTGGCTGGTGACAGCAAAAATGACCCACCAATGGAAGCAGCTGGCTTCACAGCTCAAGTAATTATCCTGAACCATCCAGGTCAAATCAATGCCAGGTGTGCACCTGTGCTAGCTTGTCTCACAGCTCATATTGCTTAAAGTTTGCTGAGCTGAAGAAGATGGATCATTATTCTGCGAAGAAGCTGGAAGATAGCCTCAAGTTTTTGAAATCTAGTGATTCCGCCATCGTTGATATGGTTCCTGGCAAGCCCATGTGTGTTGAGAGCTTCTCTGACTACCCTCCTCTGGATCATTTTGCTGTTTATGACATGAGACAGTTGCTGTGGGTGTCATCAAAGCAGTGGACAAGAAGGCAGCTGGAGCCGGGAAAGTCACCAAGTCTGCCCAGGAAGCTCAGAAGGCTAAATGAACATTATTAACCCAATACCTGCCACCCGAGTCTTAGTCAGTGGTGGAAGAACGGTCTCTGACCCATTTGTCTCAGTTGGCCATTTAAGTTTAATAGTAAATGGCTAGTTAATGATAACAATGCATTGTGAAACCTTCAGAAGGAAAGGAGAATGTTTGCGAACCATTTTGGGGTTTTTGTGTGGCATTTTTTCAGTCTGTAGTTTTTAAAATCAGTAATTTTAATAGAATTTTGAGACCTATTAAAGTTTAATGAGAAAAAAATGTAAAGGAAAAAATAATCTTTTTATTGTTACCACTTAAATCTGGATATCTACCCTAAGATTTTGCACAAGAAAGGAAACTCTTTTTAAGTCTATTTGTAATCATTAACTAAAAGTTTACAACTCTGTGGTTATCTTGAACATTGAACTCTTATAGGTTTTTCAAAGTTATTGAAATTCACTTAACATTTGCTTACTAAGTAGAAATGATACAGCATATTTTCCCCTGAGTCATTGTGAACATTTCTCCCTATTGAGTTATTTCTATGTGATCAATTACTTATAGCACACACACATGGAACCATTAAGAAGAGATTTAGGAGAAATCATTTTACATAAAGACCAGCAGAGCTAAGGCCAGAATCCAGGCTTTCTGACTCCTGTAGATCTTCTGGTCTTTCCCAGTGCAGTCTTTAAATATCCATAACATCAAAGGGAGGAATTCCCAGAGCACCTCATCCTATAAAATAGGATCATCCCTGAAAACTTGCTTATTTTTGACATATTCAGATTGCATTTTCAGGACCCTAGGAGAGCTTGTGATTTAAAGAAGTCCTGTGGTGTATCCTTAGGTAACGGGAATCATTACAGTAGTTTGTCTTTTGTGTAAAGATTATGTTCATTAAATCATAAAATCTTCAAGATCTTCTCATCAGACCTTCTCCCCAGAATGTATATTCTTTCCTCGGTGTTCCGTTTTCTTAACCTTTCTGAACCTCAGTTTCCTAATTGGTAAAATTGGAATAAAAATACCTACCTCTAAGGATTATGGGGAAGATTAAATGAGACAAAAATTTTAGAGTGCCAAACATAGGAATATATTCTTTAATTTAAGAAACCTATGTGAGGTTAACATATAATAGATATCCAGTCAATGGGAGTTCTCTTAATGCCTATCAGACATTGATAAAAATGTTGAAGGTGCTGAAGCTACCACTGACCCTTTTGGAATGCGTGTAGAGGTTTTCTTTGGGTTACATTTCTTCAGACAACTAAAGGCCTTGCTGAATTCAGGATACACTTATACCAGTTGCCAGTGTAATAATCATATCAAAAAAGATAATTCAGTTAGGTTGTCTGGTTTGTTCTTAAAGTACTCATTCTGGTTCTTAATGATTACCTTCCTTTCAAAACTCCAAAATTTTTCTTCATTTAGCAAACCTTTCGAGATCTTTCCAGTAGTTAATGTCAGATTTTACCTGATTTTTAGCACCTTTATATTTAAAAAATCAAGGCATTTGCCCCTTCAGTCTTATAATACTTTTCCCGTTCTCAGTGATTTAAAAGATTTCAGATAATGGTTCTACAATTACCTCCATTAGTTCTTTCAGAACCTGTTTTGGTTTGCAGAAACTTCTCTGACATTTATGCCACCCTTGCCAATGTATAATGTAAACAGTGAAGTGTCCAAGATCCTGCTCTCTGTTGCTCTTGGAATAATCACTATTGGCAGCTTGCTTGAATTAATACATATTATTTGAATACTAGAGGCCCGGTGCACAAAAATTTGTGCACTGGGGGCGGGAGGGGGATCCCTCAGCCCGGCCTGCGCCCATTCACAGTCCAGGACCCCTTGGGGGATGTCCACCTGTCGACTTAGGCCCACTCCCCGGGGGATCAGGCCTAAGCTTGCAGTCAGACATCCTTCTGGCAGCCAGGGAGCCCTTAGAGGATGTCCGACTAAAGGCTTAGGCCCCCACGGGAGCTGTGATGAGGAAGCTGGGGTGACAGAGGAGCCATACTGTCCTGCCCGGCCGCCCAGGGTTGGGTCGCACACAGGACACCTGCTGGGGTCCTGCCCCAGCAAGTCCAGGGGTCCCCAAAGGTGTGGACAGAGTCGGCGAAGAAGTAATGACACGGAGACAGCGTTCAGTTGATCAGCAGCCTTGCAGGGCATC